AAAAACTAAAAATAGAACTACCATTTGATCCAGCAGTCCCACTTCTGGGTATCTATCCAATGAATATGAAATCATTAACTTGAAGAGCTATATGTACCACGATGTTTATTGCAGTGTTATTCACAACAGGTAAGGACATGGAAATAACCTAAGTGCCCATTGATAGATGACTGGATAGAGAAGATGATTGTATTTCACCTATATGTGCAGCATAAGGAAACAAAGCAGATGAATGAATTAATAAACAAAATAAAATTAAACCAGTGGACATCGACAACAGAACTGAGGTTACCTAAAGGTAAGACAGCGGGAGTAAGGGTGGTGGGGGGTCTAATGGATGGCGATGTGTGTTTTGTTTTTTGTTTTTTTGGTTCTCCCAGTTTCCCTCAATTCCCTTCCCTGCTCCTTCAGGTGCCCTCTGCAAGAAGCACCACTTTTAATGCTCTAGTGGCATCCTTTTGCAATGGGCTCTGCAAGCTACTGCCATCGAGAGGTAGAGTCTACACTGCCACCCCTGGATTTGGGCTTAGCTATGTGATTTGTCTTAACCAGGGCAGCGTGAGCAAATGTAAGCCCTGCAAGAGCTTGTGTGTTGAGTTTGCCCTTCTATGGTGCTCTTACAAACACAGCAAGAATTACAGGAAAGAACTTGGGCCACTGTGCTGATAATGACGGCCGAGCCATCACCATCACATGATGAGACCCATGTGGCCAAGCCATCACTTGACATGGCCAAGCCATGTCACCCTAGCTGACATGGAACCAGCACGAGACATGTGAGAACATTTTAGACCAGCTAAGCCTCAGCTAAGTTCAGCCAATCACAGAGCTTTGTTGAGCTGACTCAAACCAAAAGAAATGTCTAGCTTATCACAGTTTTGAGAAGTTTAAAAAAGTTTGAAACCACTACATTTCTTTGTGGTTTGTCGGACACCAAAAACCTCCCTTATTCATGTTTTCAGTTCCCACTTCACCTCCACATATAATAGGTATAGGCTTTATAATAGGCTTTAAAATAGAGGCTTTATAATAGCCTCTATTTTCACTAATCAACTTTTGATGTTGTCTTATGGCTTCTATGATGATGGGTGAAGATTTATTACTCTTGTATTGTCATTACTTTGGTTCTCCTCTACACTCCCCAAATACACATATTTCAGTGTTTTAGGAAATCAATATTCAGTGTTTACTTGATTATGCCATATAACTTTTATTCACATCTGAACACTGTATACTCTGGTTAAATTTATTTCCCAATTTTTCATTTCTCTTGGACGCACAATAATTGCTTTTCTGACTTGTGTGCTTTGTTTCTCAGTGCTAGGGGATTAGAAGGCTGATTGCACTTTTGGAGGGTACTTTTGGGGGTTGGCAGCTTTCAAATGTTGATACATGGTTCTTGATCTGGATAGGCCATTTTTGGGGAAACAAAATGCCATTATCTTTAGGTTTTCCTCTTGGGCTAGTCACGGAGTGGATTTGGGTTTTGTGGGGTTAGAAACTTAGACAAGTGGGTGAAATTTTCAAGAGAAAGAATTCAAAATCATAATTTCAGAATTAAGTATGAAAGAAATATTTATTTAGAATTGGATAAATGACTTACACAACGGCTTACAAATTTTACAAACTTGTCACCACCACATCACAAAACACAAAGAAGTCCACACTGTTTAGGCGAATTAATGCTTGACTCATAGTTACAATACTTTCTTTCCCTACATTTTCAGGCTATAAACTCTTATAATAACCTCTTCATTTGTCAGTAATTGTAAAATATCCACAGAAAAGGGAGAAAGCTGTTGGTCCTATAGTCAAATTAGATTGACCATATTTGTTGTTATTTACAGTTTAAGGTTTTTTTTTTTTTTTTTTTTTTTTTTTGTGGGACCCTTGCCGGCGGACACGGAACAAACCAGTGCTGCAGAGGCTGCGGGCAGCCTCACAGCCCAGCGCTCAACCACTGCGCCACCAGGGGAGGCCCGAGAAAAGTTTTTTTTTTTAATCAACTTCACAGCTCATTATAGGTAATATCATGTAAGTTTTTAGGACTATTGTCAAGTTGGGGGAAACATTAAGAAAATAGATTAGTGATTGCCTAGGCCTAGGAGGGATGGGGGTGAGGGAGAGAGTGGTGGCTGAAAGGCAACGGGGCTTTTCCTGGGGAGAGTAATAAAAATGTTTTGAAATGGACTGTGGTAATGGTTACACAACTTTGTGCACATACGAAGAAACCACTGATTTGTACACTTGAAATGGATGAATGGTGTGGTAGGTGAATTATCTCTATGTAAGCTCAAGTAAAAAAAATCAGTGTGTTTCTTCTAAAGCTGGGATATTTGGATGTATTCTGCACAGAGTGATTTCTGCATCTGACTATTTCAAGCCTTGCTTGTTTTCATGGCCCAGGTATTTCCAAGGCCAGTGGCTGAAGGACACACTTCTCAGGTAATGGCAGCTCTAGAACTGCCTTTCTGGCCCTATCTGACCGCACCAGGTAGGTGAGCCATTCCCACAACAGGGAAATGCAACTCAAGCACATGTATATCCACTGCACCCCAAATTAGAAAATCACAATTCAAGATCTTCTTCCTTGAATGCCAAAGTCCCCATGGCCACTAGGACATCACCTGATGCAAGAGGAACTGTCACAAAGGAGAAGCAGAAGTGGAAAGAGCCAATGATCTCACCCAGTAGAGGTCAAGGTCTCTTGCTTTTTGCAAATTAAACAACAACAGGATCATTTTAAACAGAGCAAGTCAATCTTCTAGGAACAAACAAGAGAGGGGTCTTGAAACTAAAACTTGTTAGACAAAGTCTTGAGGGATTTGAGAGTTGGTGAGCTTAAAGCACTCTGAAAGACTTGATTTAGAATTAGGATTATAGATCTGAAATTAGACCTCATTTGGGTTAACCCATGAATTTTTGTTTTTAAAGATTTATTTATTTATGCATACAGGAACTGGGCTACAGGCCAGAGGTGTAGGGGGTGAGAGGATTCACCAGAATGGGGAGCAGAACAGGCAGAGTGACGAAATACACTGCTGAGGGGAGCATTGGGCGAGTCAGGAGAGGTCTGCTGCGCCATGTGGGTTGCCCCCTGGCCAGCCAGGGATTGAACTTGTGCTGCAGTGGCTGCGGATAGCTTCATGGGTTGTGTCTTAACCCCTTGAGCCACCAGGGAGGCTCCTAACCCATGACTCTTGCACATAAAGAAAATAAATCCAATTAAACGATTGAATAATCTGCCCAGGAAACTGTAACCATGTAAAAACCTCAGACGTAATCCTAAGAAAATTTAAGCAATTGAGGAAATTTCTTAGTAGATGATCCAAGACCACAGAGGTCAAAGTCCGGAAAAGGAAAGATCTTTCCCCAATTTTGAAAATAACATTATAGCATCTCATCCTGTAAGTGTACCATAATTTATAAAACTATTCTCCTGTTGCTGGTTTTCATGTTATTATATTATATATAATGCTGAGATAAAGAATCTCTTTGTGCAACTTATTTTCTCATTTTTTTAAACTTTCCTCTAAGAACACCTTTTTAGAAATAGCATTACTAGGTTAGAGCCTCAATTTATCATGGATCTTAGTGCATATTACCAAAGAGCTTTCCCAAAGTGGTCATGATAATTTACAATCCCACCAACTACGTATCAAGGTGTTCGTTTCATCAATCTCCTTACCAGTTCAGGTTATTACCTTTCCTTTTTAAGTTATAGTCATTTAATACAGGGAAGGAAAGAATCTTTTGTTTATATTTTTCATTTCTTTGATTTATCATTTTCCTCTGTCTTAGGAAGTTTTGTTATTGTCTGTGATTGTCAGTTCATATCCTTTTCGTATTTCTCAACTTCTGCTTTGATGTTTTACTTATGAATGTCTCTGATTGTTTAGACACAGTGCTATCATTTATTTCTCCCTGTTGCTTGCCCTTTATTTATTCATTTTCTTTGCACTGTTCCTTAGGCTAAAGCTCATGTTTTGGGGTGGGGAAACTGACTTAGAGTGTGGCTTAAATGGTCTACTGGCTTGTACTCATAAAGCAGAATTTCTAAGATTAGGATTCCTTTGTCTCTATTAATTTTCCTTTAGCTATATAAAAAATTCATTAAGTTCTATCCATATTAACTGACAAAAATTAATAATTCTATTGACCCATGGACTTTTAGCAGGCCACTAAATTATTTCTATGAAGGTCCTTAGGTTGTTTTGAAGCCTGTGTGATTGAAAGGCAAACATTTCAACAACCCCCTGAATTGTGTGAAAGGAACTTTAAAAAAATCAAAGGAGATAGAAGGCATGGTGGTGTGGGGAAAAAAAGTAGTCATAAAATAAAAAATCTACATGAGTGGAGAATTTATAGGAAATAACCATTTGAGGGATGGTTATGGGTATCTCTTGAACAAAGAAAATTAAGTTCTGAAATATTTCAATATAACGTGAAAGAAAGTAGCTGGGTCCTATTTATTAAAAGAGTATTTTTCAGCCCAAACAATGTTTGCCTCATGAAGGGATCGGGAAGCAGGGGAGAGGAGCAGAGTAACTTGAATATTCCATCTATTGATATATTTTCCAGGTGTTTCACAGTTGAGAAGACAGTAATGAGGAGTCTAATAGAGATTTGAATTGATTTTTCACTAAACCTTTCATTTCTTGAACAGAAGGAATGCACCGTGTGACTCATTCATCTGCTAAAGACCCATCTCTTGGCAGTCAGATATTCCTTGGAAGAGCTTTTAAAAATTATCTTTTCCAAGAGTGCCATGTTTAAAGCTGATAGAGTTAAGATGGAAGAGCACATTTTAACCATAAATTATGGTGTGAAAGGCCAAACTCAAATAACTTGTAATGAAATAATATCAGCTGGGTGGGAATAGTGATGAGGTAGAAAGAGACTTGTAAATATCTGCAAGGTAGCTTAGAGCAGATGCAAAAAAATCTTTTTCAGGCCATAAATATAATTTAAAATCTATATTAAAAATATCATTAGAGCTCTTCTTCAAACACAGTAACTTCAAATTAATTATACCTAATACAGATTGAGTGCTAACTGTATTTTAATGATGGAGATAAATAACAAATCAACACAGTGAGCCTCAATGTTGTCAATTGGTCCTTGGAAGCAATGACTTTAAGCAACGTAGTTCTACAATAGGATCATTTTGTTTAAAGTCAGCAGGATTGGGCCTCCCTGACGTGCAAGGGATTAAGACACAACTTATGAAGCTATCCACAGCCACTGCAACACGAGTTCGACCCCCAGCCAGAGAGGTGACCCACATGGCGCAGCAGACCTCTCCTGACTCTCCCGCTGCTCCTGACTCAACCTCCACACCTCTGGCCTGTACCCCAGTTCCTGTACGCATAAATAATCTTAAAAAATATAAAGTCAGCTGGATTATTTTATTAGAGCACCTACAGTATTTACTTTCAGCCAGTGCTCAATGAAGTCATCCCAATACGATCCTCTTGACTCAAAATTGACTGTGGTCTCCAGCTGAGAATACACTTGGCATGGGGCTAAGCCTCCCTAATCCCAAAGCGTTAAGCCATATATTTTTTATGAGGTTCAAGGCCTAAGTCTCAGTCATACCAATCCCAAACGACACCTGTTAAATATTTTATTTGCTCCTTTTTAATGAGGGGAATAATTAAGATGTTATAACTGGCTTAACAGGGAATTTAAAGTACCCACTTGTGTTACTGAATGGAAAATGGAAATGAATCTACAAATAGATGCAAAATAGCTTTTTCCAGAGTGGGAAGATTCGATGGGAAATTCGATGGACGACAGTAATTCGTCTTGTTATCGCTTACGAACAATTCAGTTGTACAGAACGCCACAAGGACGCTGCAAAGTCCCTACAACATCAGAAGGCCTGAGAGGGTGTGCCAGACGACGGCCGGCTTTCAGCCGCGGGCCCCCAGAATTCTTTCGGTCCATTTCAACAGGGGCACAGTCTCTCCCCTTGAAGCCCCTCGTGTCTGTGAGCAGCCGAGGAGCTCTTCCTCCTTAGCCGGCTTTCACGTCCCGCAATCCTCACGCCTCTTAGTTGCCTTAGTCAGGGTTGGCGGAGAACCTGCGCTCGCACCAACGAGGCCTGAGCGAGCGAGCAGGGCCCCCCGGGCCCCCCAGGGGTTCCCCCTCGGAGGACGACCCCTACTTCCGCCACCCCAGCCGGGAAGGGGCCGCGGCCGGGTCGCCCCGCCCCTGCGCAGGCGCCGCCCCCAGCCTGCCCAATCACCGAGCAGCAGCAGAGGTCACGTGGGCGGCCGCGGTCCCGTGACGCCTCTGAAGCGGAACGTGGCAACGACGTCACTCACAAAGGCCCTCGGCGCCCGCTGTCTACCAGCCGTCCCCGCTCGTCTCCCCCTTGCCCGTTAAATTCCTCCTCCCTCGCCGCTGTCTTCTCGGGGATGGCGAACTACCTGGCTACCCCCTAGCGCGGCCGTCCCAGGCCTACCAGCCAGCCCTCGCGCCAGAGGCGGGGATCCATGAGCGCCGAGACGATTTGTATCTGATTGGGCGTGAGGCCTTGTCAATCTTCCGGTTTTCCCAATCAGGGCCCGAGCCCGGACAACTTCCCGCTCTCCATTGGCCTGTGCGCGGGAGGGAGGAGGAAGGGGCGGAGGTCACGCGAGAGCGCGGGGCCCGCAGTGCGCAGGCGCGGAGCAGCGGGCTGGGCCCGGGCCGAGGGCGGGCTGAAGACGCGTCGTTCGGGCTCGGCGACGGGGGCAGAGCTGCCGGCGCGGGCGCTGCGTGAGAGCCTTTGTCAGGGCGCGGGCCGGAGACGAGGCCCTCGAGATCCCCGATGGTGTCCATGACTTTCAAGCGGAGCCGCAGCGACCGGTTCTACAGCACCCGGTGCTGCGGCTGCTGCCATGTCCGCACCGGGACGATCATCCTGGGGACCTGGTACATGGTGAGGCGGCGGCGGGCGGCCGCGCGGGGGCGGGCGGCGGGGCCTCGGGCGGGGAGTGTTCGCGGGGAGGGGGTGGGGCTGCGAACGGGGGTGGGGTGGGGTGGGGTGGGAGGAGCAGGGAGCCTCTTTTTAGGGCGCCGGGACTTTGCGGGGGGCGGCTGCCCCGTGGGGGGTGGGGAGGGGAGGGGGGAGGGGAGGGGAGGGGAGGGGAGGGGGGAGGGGGTGTCCCTTGGCGAGAACTGCTGGGGAGCCGCAGACTGGGGGGGCGGGGTGTTGGGCGAGCTGGGGGTGAGGAGGCTTCCGGGCTCGCCCGGGGACCTCTGGAAATTGTGGGGTGTCGGATGTCCCTGCCCCCCGCCCCGCCCCCCCGCCCCAGCGCGCCCGGGAATCTCTCCCCACGAGACCTCGGGCCGGGCGAGCGCCGCCCGGCTGGCGTCGGGTCCTGCCGGGGGGAAGCGAAAGCTCCGCCTGGAACGTGCCTGTCCGGGCCCCCGAGTCTCCGGGCCCCGAGTCCCCCCGTCACAATGTGCCCGCGGCGCGCGGGGAGCGGTGGTGGCGGGGCCTGCGCTCGTCGGAGGCGCCCGGGAGCCGGGCTGGGCCGGCCCCGCTGACACCGCGTGTCGGGCCGCCGGTCCTTGGGAGCCCGCCGTGGAGAGGCCGGTCCGGTCCGGCCCGGTCCGGTCCTGCCCGCGGTCCCGCGTGTCCGGCGCCCCCCGCCAGCCTGACTTGTTGCTGACGGGCGCGCCCCGAGTTAATCTCTCGACTGGCGGCCGCCGCCCCCCGCGTCCGTGCGCCGCGACGCCGACCGGGACTCGCACGCGAATCTGGAGCTGCAGGGACCGCCCGCCTGGACCCGGCCGTTCGCACTGGGCGCTTTTAGTTTTTGTGGTGGCCGGGTGGGGGTTGTGGCGAGGGTGATAACCCTGCAGCTTCTCGAACTTAAGTGAGCTGCCAAAAAAAGCAAAACAGGAAAGGCTTTATCACGTTCTTTTTGCCTGTGGTTGTCGCTGCTTCCCCGCCCGGTGTCTTGAAGCCATCGCCACTTGGACTCGCACCAGATGAGAGGCCTCCCGGTTAGGCAGGCGAAAGAAAAAAAAAAAGAATGCACGCGTTTATTTGCTTGTTTCTACATATATTTTAATATTTTCTTTACTTTTATATTCAGCAACAAATATGAGCGTGTTCTGGTTCAGTGATAGCCTTTTCCCCTCAAAAGTCGCCTCTCCTTTGTAGTTCAACTGACTTGTAATACTGGACATGAGTTAATAGCAGCATTGTATCTTGAACTTGCTTTTATTCTCCATTTTGCGAGGGTCTGGGTCTTTAATTTCTTTTGTTTGTCCTTAGTGTGCTGCCTTTTATTTCCTTCTTAAATGAGTAATTCAGAATTTTAGGGCTCCCAAGCCTCTTACTCAACCCTGTCTCCCTTATTTCTAGGTGATTTTCCTCCTGCTTAACTGAATGAGTCCAACAGTCTGGGACTTTGCCTACAAATTTAATCTTCCTGTTTCTTCTCAGGGCCTTCCTTTCCATGCACAGAACAAAGGATTTCTAACTCCTCCTTAAAAGAAAATAACCACCATCCCCGTTCCAACCATCTGAATGTAATTGGCTGTATTTCTTTCCAGTCTTTGCTGCAGCATTGGTTTAGCTCATAAACATGAAAGGAATAGCAGGGAAGAGTGGGAGTTAGAAACAATGAAACTCAAACTGCAGAAAGAAAAACTTTAATAAGGGTGTTTATTCTTCCAAAATAGAGATGAGTTTAAATCTGCTTCCCTCTGGAATGGAAGCACTTGATGTGGAAACATTTCTCAGATCCCGCTTCTTTCATGCTTTAGTTTCACAATTTTTAAAAGATGCCATCGCTGTTCTTACTGTACATGAACTTTTCTGGTTAGTAGAACATTTTAAGTTGCATGAGTCATTTAATCTGTCTTACATAAAGAGATTATTGCTCACACAATGTAAAAGGCTTTGGTGGATATACAAAAAGAATAAATCACAGGGATGATGTCATTTGCTCTCTCTATTCCTGTTACCTGTCACATAGAGGCTCTTCGAAGTTTCCTGTGAATATGGCACCTGCCCTTAAGATAATTATCATCTTCCAAAGAACCTTGGAGCACAAGTAAAGAAATGAAAGGGGCAGAGGGTGATCGGTAATAACAGATCATATCAGTGGTAACAGATTCTAATCAGATTTAGGAGTGGAAAAGACTTTCATTGATTCAGTGTCCCTGGTGAGACTGTCAGAAGTAGCTGCACCATAGAAATGTAAAGGCACAGCCAGAAAGACCTGGCCCGTTGAGAAGCCAAGACCACCTAGACAGAAGTGTCACAGGACGCTTCTAAACAAAAAGTTCTTGCTTAGACTGCATTTTGTTTCCAGAAGTTTCTTTACTAAGAGTGGAAAAATATGGGAGTGAAGCAATATGGGAGTGAAGTAAAATGTCACTGTTCCCCCTCCCCTCCAACTACCTTGTCAAGATCATCTCCTCTGACCCAAGCAGGGGAATATTTATGATTCTCTTTAATTTGCCTCTGAGGCACCTGCTGGTGGCGCAGCCCTTCCTCCTGCAGGAGCTGCACTCTGCGGTGACTTTGTAACTGATGCAGTGTCGTTTTCTAGCAACTCTTTCTGCTGGGCTAGTGTTTCGATGATTGTGTATTAACTGCCTGCCAGTTTTGTTGCCTGGTATTAAATAATGCAGCTGGAAGGCAAAGAAACCAGAGCAAGGTATAAGCACCAGCCCTGAAGAGTGTTGGCATTTGCCATTTTAGATTTGTGAGTAGCATGCCAGCTTCAATACCTGGTGAAACAATATGAAATATCAGAATGAACTTCACTTTAAACTCGAGCATTCTTAAAATTGTTTTCTTTATCTTAAAGAATTTAAAGACATGATTCTAAACAACGGTTTCTTTCATGGTGTAAATTCAGATGTTTATTGAGTGATTGAAAATGGGCTTAAAAGTCTTTTGCAAGAGGTGTGCTCCATTTTTTTTAATATTTTATATAATTCTTACATCATTTTTCATCTTTGCACAATGTATGCATTTTCATTATGGTTATATTCCCCACACAATTGCAAACCCCCCCCCCCATTTTGACTCTAGTCATTCCTCTCCCTTCCCCTCCCCCCCAGTGTGTCTCTGGTTTATAGTTGCTTGTTGTTTTTGATTTTTACTTTGTATTGATTAGTCTTTTTCCTGGTCTCTCAAGTTTTCTAAACTACTTCATGGTTAAGAATAAATGATGAGTATCTCTCATCTTGGAAAGATTTAGTATATGGCTTTATTCTTTTTACCAGTGTCTCATCCCTCAACAGTGTGAAGCTAGGTGGCTGGAAGAAGAGCGCAAGCAGGTTTCCTCCTGCTGTCTTGATTCCTGCCTGTCCTCACTCCTGAGTCCTTTAAATAAATATAGGTTGTTTTTATTTCGCAGTTAGTGTCTCTCTTCAGATATATTGTTTTGTACCTTTGCATTTGCTAGTCCTTCTTCCCTGAAATTTTCTCACCCATGTCATGTTTTAGAATTTTTTTTATTAAGAAAAACATCAAATATACAAAAGTAGTGCAGGAGGATAAAGATCTCCCGTTTACTATCACCATGAACAACTTTTTTTGCCAGTTCCAGTTAACTTTTTAATTATTTGCGCAAATGTTTGGTGAAACTTGCCTTGTTTCCTTCTTATCATTTGCAAGTTCCCCCATGTCTACTACGTCTGCGTGGCAGGCGGAGAAGGAGGGCAGAGCAGGACTCTGACTTCTGCTGGCCCTTCCCCTCTCTTTAGTGCCAGGCCCCTCTTGCTCATCTTCCATCTGACCTTCAGATTATAGCCTGCCCATGTGACCCATGTTCGACCTACTGAATATAAAAGGAAACTTTTGTGCACGTTCAGGGCCCAGGTCTTTCAAGGGAGAGCTCTCTCCTGTCTGGTGCCCACTAGTGTGATAATAAAACCTGTGCCACTTGACCTTGCAGTGCCGTTTGGTCCTTTCTAGTCTGGCAAAATAGTTTTCTGTAACACCCAGCTTGAGGGATCTGGTTTTTCCTCTGTGTACCTGGAATCCTCTCTATGTACCTCTTGTGTGTCCTACTGCGCTCTGCTCACTGTCAGCTGATAAGCTGTTATCTTTCCTCCCTGCAACAGGATGTTCTTGAGGGAAGAAGGGGAGGAGAAAAGAAGTATTTAATCCAGTGTTGCTTATTGATGGGAATATTTGCAGTGTGCATAAAGTGTCTCCAGAAAAAAATAGTTGGAATAACATAGTGGTCAACAACAACAACAAGAAACACACAATTTAACAGAAATGTTAAAGATTGTCCATTTGATCTTTATCTCATGACTTTCTTTCCTGACTTCCGTGCTGTCTGTTGGGTCTTTCCCTCCCTTCTCCCTCCCTCTCCCCTCCCTTTCTCTGGAGACCCTTATCTGGATGCCTTGAAGCAAACACATTGTTTTAATTATAGTCCAGTAGATACTGGTTGGTAAAAAAAAAAGTTGTGGGAAAATGAAAGAATGATGATGATTTAAAAACAAAACCAGAAAAAAACCAGCCCCCAAAGAATCTTAAGAGATGGGTGTGGCCATGAAATAAGAAAGCACTTAAAAATTGCTCTCCGAGGGCTGAGTGTTTGCTTTAATGGATCTGATAGTAAAATCTGGCATATCTTTTTGTGAAAGACAAAAGCAGGGCAAAGATGCATATTGTTTAACTGTCTAAACTTACAGTACAACTGCCCGAGAGTGGTGTGTTCATTGCCCATACTGTTATTACCGTCTTTGCTGCATTTTATACCTCTCCATGTTAGTAGGGGTAGAAGTTAATCATTTTATTAACATTTTTGGTAATTTTCTTTCCCGAACACAGTAAAAGGAAAAAAACAACTATGAATCAGGAATAAATGCTCTGTCATTGCTTGCGTGTAGTTGTTATTTTCAGAGAAATTTTATATTGCAAAATTATAAAGTTAATTTTCTGTGTTTTTTGCAAATTGTTACATGGAACTTAAGAATAATAAGTATAATCAAAAATAGCACAAGGCTTTTAATGAGTGTAGGAGAGGTGCTCAGTGATGTATCCTTTAGGGTCACGGGGATGGCTATCTCAGATTAATACTTTAGAATGTAAGTTTGCTTTAGAATGAAAAAATGGTGACCTAGTAGAATAAAATGTGTTACCAAGTGACCAACAGGTACCCAGGTGCCCCAGCCTTTTAAGGGGTGCATGCTCTAAAAGAGATTCGGCCTTCGGCAAGCACAAATGCAAAGGAAGCCAACTCTGTGGTGAAGTTTTTTTGTTTTTAACATTTATTTATTTTTATACAAGAACCGGGGTACAGGCCAGATGCACAGGAGGGTGAGAGGATTCACCAGAGACAGAGTGGGGAACAGAACAGGCAGACTGACGAAATACACTGCTGAGGGGAGCAGCAGGCACGACAGGAGAGGTCTGTCACGCCATGTGGGACCCTCGCTGGGTGGGCCGGATCGAAGCGGCGCTGCAGAGGCTGCCGGGCAGCTTCACAGCAAGGCGCTCAACTGCCCTCTGTGGTAAAATTTTAGTAAAATTAGTGTGCATAAGGAGACAAGAAAGGATTTCCCAGTAAAACTCTCAAAATTACCCATCCCTTATGGGCAAATGCTAAGCCACAGAGGGGTGGCCTGAAGTGGGGCTGCTAAGAACCCAAAACTTGCTCATCTAAGGTACCTCTGGCAAAGAACCCCAAGAAAGGGGTTAGACACGTCTGAGAGAGCTGGGACAGGAGAGACCCAGAATTCAAAATAGACCACATCAAGATGGTGACTGCCGTGGTCTCTGCCACAGACCGGGGGCAGCCTCCCACACGCCTCTCACCCGTGTGTCTCTTCCAGATAGCGCTTCCAAGTGTCTCTGCAAGTCTCTCCGCATCTCCTCCCAGCAGTACCAGAGTGCAGGCTGGAGCTAGGAAAGCAAGAGAGAACACACCTGTGTTCAGGTTATAAGCCAAGCACGGCCGCTGACCCCCACCCTAGTTCCCAGCTCCCCATTCCGGAAGTCAAGCTCAGGGCATGCTGGGAGCTGTAATTCTTGGCCCTTGAGGTCTCTTCAGTGTGGAGATGGGGGTAGAATCTATAAAAACGTCAAAGTGTGGATTGTTCTCTAACAAAAAACTCATTGAAAATTTGAAAACTTGTTTGAACTTTTAATGAAGTGGCACTAAAATTTGTTTTACTGTTTCTTGATTCTTTTGACCTGTGATTGATTTTGTTCAGTATTCAGGGCTGTAACTCAGAGTGAAATGAAATTTAACTATCACTAATCTAGAAGACAATAGTGGATGAGTCTGTGACTCATTCATGAAAGAAAAGAGATTTTTTTAATCCTACATGTCATAAAAAACATAAGGGAAATTCAGCCTCCGAGAGATTCTGGTGTGTCAGTTCCTTCATGCAGCAGCAGGTGAGCTGCGTGTGTCCCTGGACACATCACTGCCTTTCTTGCCTTGCGGAGCTCTTAACTGTGACCATTGTGAAGAGCAGTTTGCTAGATTGAGCTCAGACTGATTTCCACACAAAGAATGTATCATGTTTCCGTGAACATGTTCAGTTGTTCAACAGTTCACCTAGTTGTATTAGTTCATGTTCATATACTACATACACTGGCCAAACCCCAGTGCAGTAAAAATAGACCCCCCAAAAACCAAAACCAAACCTCAGCCCTGCAGCTAGGGAATCACCTTCCAAGTATGATGTCTCTTGTATGTAAGATCTCTCAAAAAATGAAGGATAAGTATCCTGCCTTTTGAGCAATACAAAGACAAGGCGTGTTACCGATTGTGTATGTTTGGAGAGTAAAGTATAAACATTTCTATAGCCTTAGACAGGGTTTCTTTTGGAACGGTTTCAAAACAGGAGTTACTTAGGAATGGTCACTAGTAATGTAGTGCTAAAATGCAAGATACCTTAGAATTAGATTTGTATCAATAAAGTTATTTCGTTTGTTGAACCTTAGTTTCCCCATCTGTGAATGGGCTTTAGTAATACAAGGTTGGTGTGAGAAAGAAGTGAAGACACACGCATGCACGCTGTGCACGCCTATTTTCTTGGTATATTCTTAATGTGTGCTTTGATTCTGAATTTGATCCTTTGACATTTTATCTAATCTAATTATCTAATAAGATTCTGTTAATCTTAGAGAGGAAATGCTTTCAGCCAGTAAGCTGGCTGAAAATAAGTAAACTTATTTATCGTTCAGGGTGGATAGGAGAACTAGATTTATTTAAATACTATTGGTGAGGCTGTAATAGCCCCTAAAAATATCAATATTCAGATTTTCACAAAGGGGAGGAGAACTTCAGAAAAAAAGAAGTCTGACATCAATCCTAGGGGATACTCTGCACATCGTCCAACATTAGCAGGTTTGTTTGGGGACACTTCCAGGAAGGCGTGACTCCTGAGATACTAGAGGGAGTCAGCATAAGCCATTTCCTTTTCGAATGGAATTCCAACCCTAGTGAACTAGAAAAATCACCAGGTGTTGTTTGAATGAGATTTCAGCAAGGTGTGTGACAGTCTCAAGCTGTGCCCTTCCCCCAACCTCCTCCTCCCCAACTAACCAAATAAAGACTTAAAGGTTGCTGATGAGAGCACTTCCTCTGACCCGCTGGATTTTCAGTCCAGTTCCCCTTTGCTCCAGTGACTGGGGTGGAGATGCTCATACAACACTGGCCTTATTTTCAAGCGCCGGAAGCTGAGAGAGGGGGCGGTGTCTGACTCTAGATCAAGACAGTCTTGACGCAGGCAGGCGGGTAATAAGGGGAGAGTAGATTGCAGATATGTACGGGTTTGTGCTTAGGCCTCGGAAGCCAACTGTACAGTACAGGTGGTAGTTAGCAGGATTCAGTGTAAAAGCAAATTAGGGCTTTAGGGAGTTACTCTCATGTTACATTGGAAACTGTCCTGAAGCCAATGCAGTTTCAGGCGGTATTAATTGAAATTGTTAGCTAGGATATGAGAACTGAAATCCTGTTGTGTTTTTTTTTTAACCTGGCTGATCTTACCTCATTTTTAAATTACATTATACAAACGGGAGCGTTTGTATAAAGGAAAGCAAAGAAGAAATGGTAAGATAACTGAAAAATATGCTAGTTGGAGAAATGACAAGTATATGAATGTTTATTTTAGAAAAGAGTATTTGGAGACACACGAGTGAGCTGTCCGTAGGGGATAAAAGGAGCACTTCTTCAGAAAGGGGAGCAGATTATCTCACAGGTAGAATTAAGGACCAGTGGGCGAAAGTTAAGTGACTAACAGGTATCTTGGAGAGTCTTATAAGCCATTGAGTCTATCTCAAGAGAAAATAGTTCTCTGTCATTGGCCATGAGATGCCCCGAGGGGGTTTCAGGCTTTGCTGATGAGTCATTATAGATTTACTTGATGAATTAACGTATAGGGTGAACTGTAGCTTCTTCACACCTAGCCATTGTTGGTATAGGGATGAATGTAACTCTGAACATGAGCAGTTTATAATGATTTTTAAATGTGCTGTTTGATTCTGTTGATATTAAGACAGGATCAGTCACATACCTTTGGAACAGTTACTTTTAGTTTGTAATTAATAAAATACTTATTTTTCAGCGACTCTTACATGGAGGAATGTTGCATTGTTCTGTCTCGTGTCATCTCCTATTTTTTGTCTTCGTTATTTCAAGTAAAACTTTCAAATATGGGAGGGCATCTAAAGATTTTGCGGGTGACTGTTTCCTGATTAATGATTAATATAATTGATAAACTGTTATCTTTCACAGGTGGTAAACCTATTGATGGCAATTTTGCTGACTGTGGAGGTAACTCATCCAAACTCAATGCCAGCTGTCAACATTCAGTATGAAGTTATTGGTAATTACTATTCATCCGAGAGAATGGCTGGTATGTTTTCAGTTTAAAATATCTCCTGCTAATTATACACACAGCACATACACATACTTGCTGTTTAGAGGAGGCTTGGTTAAGTTACGGATAACTCGTTCTATTTGACTGAGGCAGAAAAGTGTTTTTGTGGGTTTTTCAGCGATAATCACTGAGTATTAATCACAATTTACAGCCAGAAAGTGTAATGAACTATTAGAAACTATTTGAGAAATATGTCTTATGTATCCAGGCTCTTAGAAAGAAGAAATTCTATAAAGACTGTAAGCCTTTGAGGGGGTAGCTCACAAGTGTAGGAGAGGGTGGGAGATTTGCTCATGGAACAGGTACTTACAGTAAAATATAAAACATGAATTATTTGAGTATTTGGTGATATCTTTTGTTCAGGTTCACAACTCTAAGTGTATTTCTGATGTTTAGGTGAGGAAAGACCTGCCGTTGGAGTTAAAAACCAGAGTAGGACATTAATTCATGGGCTTTACCTTTTTAAACCTATTTATTCCCAGATAATATTTTATTATATACCTTTCTCTAAAATACAGCTGCAAAAAAATTCTAGTCAAGATTTTATGTTAGAAATCTAATCTTTGAACAGAAAGTTATACTTGAGACTTTTCAGTGCAAACCTCTACATGTTGATTTTTTTTAATTTTACTTCAGAGAAATGATTCCAGTTCACATGTATATATTAATATTATAAAACCTTAATTATTGTATTTTTATTAGCTTTATTACCAAGTTTTGAACTTCATTACATGTATGACTTTCTCTGATCCATTTATGCGTGTGTGTGTGTATGTAGGTTTATATATATATTTTTCGGTGTCATTTTCCATGGGACTGGCTTCTGTTTCTAGGATCAAAGATTTATAACCTTGTGCTATGCAATGTAGTGTGAAAATTGTGTTATTCACACAGTGTTTTTCAAATGAGTACTTTCAAAAATGAGTTTCCTGATTATCTTTTCAGATATAGTATAATCCTTTAATTTTGCTGTCAACTAAAGAAATACCAAGAGCATAGTAGAAACATCTCTTATGACCTTTGTTTTTTTCTAAGTAGTCTTTTTATTAAAAAACCAAAATAGAAAAGTAAATACAGCATTAACTTCTAATGGCCATTTTTGATATTTACAAAATTTCAGGCTGTAGAATTGTATTGTACGCAGCTAGTGTCAGCATTTTCCTGTGTTGTGTACTTCTCTTAAAATGGAGGTTTAGCGCGAGCTGCATGGTGATTTCGGTTCTTCTGTCCTGGACACGGCAGCTCTTGGCTGGGCTGCAGGGATGGAGCCTTGGGTTCATTTCCAGTTGCATGAGTGTGGTGGTGCTCTCCCTAGGAGCACATGGATTCATGATTATGTTTTTCTTGATTATAATTTTATCAAGGCCCTTGTTCTTGAAGGAATGTAAAAATGCATAGTTCTTGGTCACCTGGTAGTTTGTTTCTTTGGAAGTTGAAACTGATTTTGCCACAGACCCAGCGTTATAGTCACAAATTAATTTCTGATCACTGACCAGATGACCACGTTTAAATAATGAGGTTGGTGCTTAGTTAATTTAATACGCTAAACAGGATATGGTACTCAGTACATATGAACTAGCTTTTGCAACATAATTAGCTGCTTATCAAATATGAAGTTCACCTTACTTCTTGTCACCTTGGGATTGAGTAAACACTTGGGGCCCCCTAGAGGAGGTTCCTGGCATGGTAGTGGGTGTGAGCCTCAGGTTCTACCTGGGCATCTAGCACTCGTATTTTTTTTGTTTGCTTTATTAATTCATAATTGCTGGGATATCTGTTGTCCCGGGCATCATGTATTTCCCACCACCACCCTTTTTCTTTACTGTTTTGCTATATGTTGCAGTGGAAAGTCTTGAACTTTTTGTTAGTATTTTAGTACTTCTTAAGAATCAAAAAAAAGTACTTTTTAAAATTTCGCTTAACAGATCCTTGAAAGGTAATTTTTTGAATTATGAATTTTGCTCTCAAGTTTGATAGTACTTAACCTGTTAAACTTCATGTGTTGTTTATATCTGACTTCTTCCCTGTAAGGGCCATTTTATGTGCAGCAGTAGGCAAGTCCTTTAAATCCTTAACATTTACCTGCCCTGTCTCCTCTAGGCAAATTTAAAAAAGGGTGTTCTTTTTTCAGGGAAAATACTGCTGGTGTTTGTACTGGCAGATGACGAGGCGACGCATGACATTTGTCGTTATGATGTGCAAATAAATAATTCTATCCAGTGTTGCAAGTACTGCAGTGGAAGAAGCAGCAATTCACTTTGCCTGTAGAATCAGGAAGACTCCAGCACATCACCTGGAGGTCAAGGTTGTGCATTCATGTCCTCACCAACATCCAACAATAACAGTTCTGCAACTATTCTAACCATTCATCAGTAGTCGTGCCCATCATCCTCGTAGTAATTACATTTTGGTTATGTGCTTAGAAATCCAGCAAGTGTGGTTTAATATTAGTGAGATTACTTAGGTGTTTTGTTAGGAAATTAGTGACCATGGACAAATGCAGAGAAGGAACAACCTGACAGAAGAACACAGACCTGTGCGCAGCCAGCGTGAAGGACTGCGGAGCAAAGAGCGATTGTTCCCGCTGGCTGGATGCTGGGTGGGGAGAGGACATGAGTGCACAGCCTTGCCCTCCAGGTGATGTGCTAGTCTTCCTGATTGTAAAGGCAAAGTGAGTTGTTTCTTCTTCCATTGTAGTACTTGCCACACTGGATTAGAGTGATCTATTTGCACATCTTAAGACCCTCAGATTGAGCAGAGATCTCTCTCCCAGTGGAGTGCCTGGTTCCCAAAGAAGTATCAATGAGTGGAACTTGAACAAACAAAATGGAGCTCTGAATTCTTGATGATGAGACAGATATTTTTACCCTCTTAATTTTAGATTTCTTTTTGTAGTCAGTCTTGCTTGAAAATACACAGACATGTGAAAAAATACACAGACATGTAAAGATATATTTTGTTTTTTGTAATATAAGTAGCTTCACTGGATTTTTGTTTCTTTCTTTTTTTTTTTTTTTTTTAGATAATGCCTGTGTTCTTTTTGCCGTCTCTGTTCTTATGTTTATAATCAGTTCCATGATGGTATATGGAGCAATTTCCGTAAGTATCCTCCCTTGGCTTTTGCTTAGACTCTGATCTTTCCTGAGTGTATTTGGTAATGTCACACATGTGGTGATGTGATTGTTACTTGTTTTTCTTCAGTATCAAGTGGGTTGGCTGATTCCATTCTTCTGTTACCGGCTTTTTGACTTCGTTCTTAGTTGCCTGGTTGCTATCAGTTCTTTCACTTACTTGCCAAGAATCAAGGAATATCTGGATCAATTAGTAAGTATATATGCTAATTTAACTTTTTTCCACTTTAACTAAAATTATTAAATGGAAATTATGAGTCAGCTTTAGGTACTATTTTATTTTAACCTGTTCTATTTATTAAAGTGATAATACTCTTAATTACCAATACTAGAAAACAGTAAGATGAAAATAGAGTGTCCTCCAACCATACCATTTGGATTATCCATATTTAAAAGTCCCCAAAGATGGAGCTCATAGAATTTAAGGAATACTTGAATTTTTATACTTGAGTATGCTAAAGGTTTAATAATTTGACTGTTTGGCACTTGTCAAAGTATTAGCTCTTTGTCTTTGCAGGTATCCATAATAAATATGTGCGTGTTACTGTAACCTTCGCTGTGTCCTAGTTTGGGGAGTCAAGACAGGAAGATGTCACTGTGACAATGAACTAGTGCTGTCACATGGTGGCAGTAAATGAGGAGCTTAGGTTGATGCTGGAGAGGCAGAGAACACTCTGGGCTGAAATAAGGTCTGGAAAGAGGGGTGGGTCCAGATAACAGAGTTCATTCCTTTTTTTTTTTTTTTTTTTTAAGATATATTTATTTATCTGCGCCACGGGGAGGCCTGAGACCAATTTATTTTCAGAAAAAAATTATATTCCTCATGTACAACTAATGGGCCACAGGACTTAAACTCAGTGATGCAGGTGTAAGTCTGGGGTCTTGTACCCAAAAGACAGTGTTTTTCCAGATACTGGATGTATTAGAAAATAGTGGAAAGTAACACAAAAATGAGCTCAATTTAGATTCTTAAGAGTATTATAGGTATTCAAACATATTTTAAGTGATTGGTAGCGTGCATTAATAATGAGGCTTAAAAGCACTTTGAGTTAAATTTTCTGTAAGGGTTTTACTGAATATCAGTTCTCTTATCTTTGTGTTACTCAGATGGTTTCTGGGTTATCACAAAGTGCAAGTTCCGTGACTGAATTTTAATCGTGTTTGTTCAGTTCATAAACTTTATTTTTTAGTGCAGTTTTATGTTCTCAGCAAAATTGAACAGGGAATTTAGAGTTCATGCACATACACCCATACACACACATAGACACATACTGTCCCCCACTGTGCACATCCCCCACCACTGTGGTACATTTGTTACAGTTGACGAACCTTCATTGACACGCCACAATCACCCAAAGTCCATAGTCCAGTGTTGTACAGTCTCTGTGTTTGGACAGCTGCCTGAAGCCGTGTCTCCGGCACTGTAGTATCCCACAGAATAGTCTCATTGCACTACCAGCCCTCTCTACTCTGCCTGTTCATCCTCCCCCCTTTTTATCTTTATAGCCTGATTTTCCCTACAAAGATGACCTCCTGTCATTGGACTCCAGCTGTCTCCTCTTCATCGTCCTTGTGTTCTTTGCCTTATTCATCATCTTTAAGGTGAGTTTGTTGACTGAATATTTGCATGGGAGCCAGACTATTACCGTGTACATCTATACCTTTTTCTTGCATTATCTCCCTCAGTTCACAGTAGTGTTTATTCTGACAGAGCACGAAAGTCCTCCCTCTTGTGGCCAGGGAATAGTTGGATATTAGGACCTTTCCTAAGTGTGAGAAACATTTTTTGGGAAGTGATTGGGTTGAAAATCTGTTCAAAGTCTCAAAGTTCAGAAACAGAACTTCTGCAGCATGATGGCCTACAGGCCTGAATTGAAGAGCCACCTGTGGTTTTCTGTAAAATGCTGATAATAAAACGTGTGGCATGAAAAGGACAGCAAGTAGGGCCAGAGCCTGCCCCGTGCTACTCTCAGTGCATGGCACTCCCTGCTCCATGGAGAAAATGTGGGAGGAGGATATAAATCACCCTGATTATCCAGCAGGCAGGCAGTCTGTTGAGTTTCTTGCATTGTGAGTTTCGTTTGTATTCTTTCAGGCTTATCTAATCAACTGCGTTTGGAATTGCTATAAATACATCAACAACAGAAATGTGCCTGAGATTGCTGTGTACCCTGCCTTTGAAGCACCTCCACAGGTAAACAACCTTTAGTATGGTGACACTTCACTAGCTTTTATTTTCCCAAAAGAAGAACCTGGATCTTTCTTCATTGCCATTACTGATTTGGGAGCATGAAGAGCTTAAATCCCCAAGATTAGAATGCTGGCTATGTGGGCTACTCATCCGGTCCAGCCTTGCTGTTAGGTGTGATTCAACAAAGGGTCTCCAAGAGTATTGCATTTTCTGAGATCAGACAGAATAGCAGTGTGAGCCATGCCGGGCTAATGGCTTCTGGAGCTTCTAGGATGGGGAGCAGGAGGTGGGGTGCCATCAGTTGAAGCTTGTGTTGCTTTTAAAAAACATGATCCAAAGGAAAAGCCGATCTTTCTGTGGGGAAATGCATGAAGTGGGCTCCGGGAGTCTGCTGGGGAGCTTTGCCTGTCAGGGCCCTCGCTGCTGTATTGTCTGCTTAGGTTTGCAATCTGTTGTATGCGTGTGGCCCATACAGGGCCAGCCTCTTGCACTTGAAGTCCCTTAGGTTAGAATGCCACTCCACACCTTAGAGGCCCCTTTACCCTAGAGGACATGTTTGAAGTACCTGAATCTTTAGCTACAGACTGATGAAATTCAGAACCCAGCATCTTATTGGAGACTTCTTTTAGCGTGGCTCAGGGCGGCCCTTAACCTAACCCCAGGTGTAATTAGTCGGCCCTGGAACTTTATCAGTGAGTTGGAATGAGAGGAGAGTAGTGGCATCTACTGCCCATGAAGGCGTCCTTGTAATCTCAGACACAGTCTGGAAGCAAAATTCTGCCCGTGCCCCTTCTTCATCCACCCACTCGTCCATTCTGGCAGTGTCGGGCAGAGTCTCACCTGCACGTGACGGTCTCAGTTACTGGTCATCCCTACTGTCAGGAACTACTTAGCTCACAGTTTCTCCAGCTTTCCTCTGTAGGTTTGTACATCGGCTCTGAAAGCTGCCTCATTCCAGATAGGCTTTCAAAGGAGAATTAAGTTTGCTATGTATTTTTTTCTATCTGCAGTATGTCTTGCCAACCTATGAAATGGCGGTGAAGATGCCTGAGAAAGAACCGCCGCCTCCCTACATCCCTGCTTGAAGAGAGTCTGCCTTCGTCAATAAACCCTATACCAGCTTTTTGTCTTGTTTATTTTACAGAATGCTGCAATACAGGGCTCTTCAAACTTGTTTGATATAAAATACATTTTACTTTGTTTAAGCATTTATTTTCAAACACTAACAGGCTTTTTGGATACCTATAAATAGGGGTTTTTGTTAAGTCTATTACATTTTAGTAGTTTTTGAAGACAATCTAGGTTAAGAGCAAAGTGCCATTGTTTGCCTTTAATGGGGGGGGGCGGGATGGGGATGTTCGCCACACAATTTCTTTTTTAACTTTGCACTTTCTTTACAAAATAAGAGTTTGCATTTTGGTTATTTGCTACCCTGGATACTTTCAGGAAGAATGGATTAAATATTCAGGGCGAGTGAGTTGGATATAAGATCTGAGCTTTTCAGCTGTGAAAGTGGGACACTAATGTTTTAACTGACTGTGGAAGATGATGACTGCATGTTTCTAATTTGTATGTGTTTCCATCTTTGTTATAAGATGCTTTAATAAATCTCTTAAGTATTTACTGTTGTCGTTTTTTTTTAAGCACCTGTCAGCCTTTTTGGGAAGATAATACCTAACATTTTCCATTACAATAAACTCAGACCGCCAGGGTCTTTTTATTTTTTTTGTACTTTGAGAACACAATGAGACTTTTAATTGGAAAACATTTCTTTAATCCAGTGACTCAAATATTATTTAAAGTTACAATGAAGATAATACTTAAATCACAGGTCAGAAAGTGCTCTACTATTGACGGTTAGATAGAAAAATTGCGTAATTGGTATAGCAAGCTATGTTTGTATGCTGAGATCATTTAGTTAGGTAGTGAGTTCATCAAGAACATTGAGATTAAAATACATCGATTTAGCTTTCCCAAGGGGAAGTGAGGAGAAAGCAGAAGCCAACTGCAGTTTATAGACCCCACAGCTAGAATTCGCTCCTGAAGAGATTCTGCTTATGACTCAGCCTAGCCCACAGGCCCTCCTGCGTGTTGTTCCTTCCCTGGGGTGGGCATGATGGGAGAGGATGCAGACCTTATACTTCAGAGAAGAGTCATGATGCGTTAATCCCAATTACTCATTAAGGGTCATTTTTTCTGTACAAGTTAATCTCATGTGACAGTACAATGTCCTAGTAAGTATGTTACAACCGTATCTCAAGTAGTTAGTATTTCCCCACTCTGAGTGCTACAGAAAAACTGTAGTAACAGTATATTTGACTGCAAAATTCAGACAGGTAACATTGGGAGATAAATGTTTAAATATTTGGCTCCTTTTTTAAATATAAAATAAGGAACTAGTTTACCTTGAGTAGCTCAGAGACTTCACCATTCTGACTGCTGAATGTGACTCTTCCCACAGAAATGTCTCGTGAGGTACCTGTGCCCTCAATCACAGCCCTGCTGCCTTTTGAACGTCAGTTTTGAGTTTTATCATTCAACCTTGTTCACGACCCAATCTTAAGTCTCTTCTCTTGACCTTCAAAACATTTTGAGGTTTGCCCATCATTTTCATCTATTCAGTATTCTTTGATAACTTCACAACCATCTATTTTGTCCCTATTGCTCCGCTCTGGTTTTATCCCTCCGGTTTTGCTCTGTCAACGTTTATTTACCACCATGAATGTGGCAGCAAAGTTCTATTATGTTCTAAATGTGCAATGCCTGTAAAACACTGTGAGAGGCCTGGTAGGCACTTGTTCGTCGAATCGAGCTCAGCCGAATGTATTCTCAGTGGCAAGATAAGCACATTCGATGTAATGGAAAGAGTGGCCTTATGAGTAATCTGGGTTCAATGCTCACTCGACACTCCTCTGTAACCATGAACAAATTTCAGTCAGTGTTTTCAGCATGTAATTTGTTCCAGGTACAGGAGATGGAGTAATGGGTCAAACAATTACCCTCTTTTGTTTCAGTGCAGAGAGGTGATTCAGATTATATGTTGTAGTAAGTTAGTGAAAGAGCTTGTAGAAAAGGGGAAACAAAGAAAGGAGGTGTGAGATGAGGAGTGATGAGAAGATGCAATTTAAAGCTGTCAGGAAAGGCTTCCGAAGGCACATAAAAACCTGAAGAATGAGGGAGGAACATTCCAGGCAGAGGGGCCTGCAGTAGCATGCTTGGTGTGTTCCAGAGCAGTGAGCTTTAATGGAGAGGAAGAAGGGAAAGGGCTGGGAGATGATCTCAGGGAGGTATCTAGTCGCCCGGCATAGGTCATCGAGCTGATTGACCTCGACACTTGGTGGGACAGGAGGCTGCTGGACAGAGGCTCCAAACGGGAGGCTTGATATCATTCTGGCGCCACTTCTCTGAGTGTTTTCTCCTTTGAAAAAGGACTCTGGCAATAAAAAAAGGATCTCAGGGCTTCCCCTGGTGGCGCAGCGGTTGAGCGCTGGGCTGCGAAGCTGCCCGCGGCCTCTGCAGTGCTGGTTCGATCCCCGGCCACCCGGCGAGGGTCCCACATGGCATGACAGACCCCTTCCTGCCTCCCACTGCTCCCCTCAGCAGTGTATATCGTCAGTCTGCCTGCTCTGTTCCCCGCTCTGGCTCTGGTGAATTCTCTCACTTTCCCGCATTTCTGACTGTACCCAGTGCTTGTGTAAATAAATAAATCTTAAAAAAGAAAGAAAAGGATCTCAGCGTTATAAATAATAAGTGATACAATTAATGTGCAATAATATAGTGCCTATCACAGCAAAAAATCTGTAGCTACTGTAGGCAGGCTGTATAGAAGAGTTGCTGAGAAATCAGATCCTGGTTTCAGACAGACTCGGTTTTAAACCCCAGTTCTGCCCACACATTTCCCATGTGAGTCTGATCAAGTTTCTTAACCTCTGTGAACTTAAATTGGCGTAATAACGTCCTAAAATGAAGACAGTGTGTACATGCTTAGACGGGGGCAGATGCAGTAAGCACTCAATACATTTATATGTAATTAAAAATATAACAGATTTTTTAGTAAACTAGGCAAATGCTGTCAACTGGCCACATTCTTTCATCATTTGGCAAACAGACCTTCAATTAGCTTTGAAGTAATTTAGTGAATTGCCCGCTTCCTTTCCCCTCCCCCCAGCACTTAGATCACACCTCTGTTACAGCTCATGGGCTGTTGTATTTCTCTCTCATGAGCACCTTGGAGATGAGACCTCTTTTCCATCTGCAGCCTTTAGCATAGTGACCCCCACAAAAGCCGGGGACAGGGTGGTAAATGTTCACTGAATCAAAGAATTTGCCTCCACAAATTTAGATTTGTGGCGGTTATTTACAGTAGGAATTATTTACAATATAAATCTGAATGATGGGAATACAACACTGCATTGAGGGTCCCTGCAGGGTGCAACCAGAGGACTATTGTTGATAAATACCCAATTTCTTCTCTTGGATGATGTGTGACCCCCATTTTCTAGCCTCTGACTAATTGTTCACAGGAATCATGGAATTTTGTTTTATTTCAATGTTCCCTGGAGGCAATGATAGATGTGCCATTTTCAGGACTCCTTTTGTTTTTAGGGAAGAAATTTGCTATAAATAAGCCCAAAAATTGACAGAAAAAAACTTGGACCTTTGCTTTACTGAGGTGGCTTTGTTTTCCTATAAAAGCCGTGTCTTCAAATATGAGAAAATAATTCGCAGGGGAGGCGATTGTTGCCAAATAACAAGGAGTTTGGGCACCTGAGAAGCAGCTCAAGGTCTGGAGCCAGAAGATTGAAACTCAGTGCCTGGCCTCTCTGAGCTGATGCTCCCTCATTCTGGAACATTTAACTGGCATCTGAGCTTCAGTCGGGCACGAGAAGACACACGGCCTGACGGACACACTGCCTGGATTTGCACTTAGGATCAAGTCAGGCAGCAGAAGCGAGAGAGCTGGCAGCTCTAAAGCTCTGTGCAAATATCAGGAAGGGCTTGTGAGCGGGGAATGGCTAGGGGAAGGGTGAAAGAGGGAGAGGGAAAGTATTTGACCTGGAAAGCAGAAAAAGAGCAACTGTTTCAGGTCTGTCAGAAAGGAGCTTTGTCATCATTCAGTTAAGTAGCTAAAAACCCAGACGAGGCATCTGGAAAGCTGATTTATATTCCTGGCCCCCCACCAGCTGAAGGTGTTAGTTAGCAGAGGACTCATTGCAGATGAGGGGCTGATCAACATCCCCTGCGCTGACCTGCTGTCACTCTTAGTTTTGGTTAAACGGTTATTATCTTTTAGAAAAATAATTTGAAAACCTACACATGTCCCCACTTAGCCCCCATTTCTGGTGCTCTGCATTCCTTTTGCAGATCCACATCTATAGCTGTTACCATTTTTGTTCCCCGGAGGATGGCTTTTTTTTTTTTTTTTAAAGATTTATTTATTTATACAAGCACTGGGTACAGTCAGAAGCGCGAGAGGGTGAGAGGATTCACCAGAGTCAGAGTGGGGAGCAGAACAGGTAGACTGACGAAATATACTGCTGAGCGGAGCAGCGGGTGCAGCAGGAGAGGTCTGCTTCGCCATGTGGGACCCTCGCCCGGCAGCTGGGGATCGAACTGCCCCGTGCTCAACTGCTGCGCCACCAGGGGAGGTCCAACCCCGGAGGATGTCTTTGACTTTTTTTTTTTTTTTTTTTTTGCAGTGTGGTTCTACTGCAGATGAATACTTTTAGCTTTTTGTATGTCTGAAAATATCTCTATTATACATTTCTTTTCCTGTTTCTTAATCCGGGTTTATTGATCCCATTTTAGAGACATTTCTTTGATATTTTGATTAAACTTTTTTTTAATTGATGAAATACTGGGTGTAGGGTAAAGAAAATGTCAGGCTTTTCTGCCCTTCCGCCATCAGGATAGATGATGGATCCTTGTCCTAAATGCATGCCTGATGGCGGGCACCTGGAGTAGGGTGTGGGCATAGGTAGATGGGATTCAGCTGAGCTAAGACTGTGCTTTTTAAGGGCGGCGTCACGGGGACGCCAGCAGCAGCAGCAGCAGCAGCAGCAGAAGCAGAAGCCAAGAAGCAGCAGAACGAACGCCAGAGAGCCCAGATAGAGTGAAGACTTGCTGGGGGGCTGGGAGGCCTGCCAGCCTCCCAGCCCCCCAGCCAGCACCCCTGCCTGCCATATGCCTGGTGAACCCCAATAAAAAACGTGCAAAACTACTGAGGACTCTGACTCCTCCTTTACCCGGTCTGCATGGGATCAGAAAACCTGCACCGTGTCCAGTCTGGCCCCTTACACTGGTTTACAACACTGGCTATATTTCAGGGGTACAGGCTCATATCTCTTCAGATGTATGTTATCACACCACACCCACCACCAAAATGCCAATAACCCTCCGCCATAGTCCATGGGCCCCCCCCCTCTCCTTTTTCTTCTCCCCTCCCCTCTCTGGTTACCTTAGTTCTGCAGTCAGAATATGAGAGTTTGTTTGGGTTTTGTCTGTTCTTTTGCTTTGTTCCTTTATGTGAAAATGAAATATTTGGTGTTTGTCTTTCTCCTCTGACTTATTTTGCTTAACTTGATCCCCTCCAATTCCGTTCATGGTAAGATTTC